TTAGGGTTTAGGGTTTAGGTCCAAGCTCGGAAGCCTCAAAACCCCCCTGAAACAATACTCTAAGCCCGATTCCCCCCAAGACCAAGAGAGTGTTAAAAGCCTACAGCCCCAGACCTCAAAGCCCTCCCTAGCCCTAGTCTACGAAGCCCTGAAAATCCGTTTTGGAGACCATCCCCCCCCTATGCCTAAACCTATCATATTCTTGAAAACAAAGCCCCAAGACACTCTTAGTAAGGCCCGAGCCCTATAACAATCTTTGCATATAACACCCTATATAGCCCTCCAAAGCCATCTCCAAGTTTCTTCAAAAGCAACCCGTGACCAAACCCGACACTCTAAACCCTACACCAAAATACGGGTTGGGGAGACGTCAGATGCTGGCGGACATCCAAAGGGCCCTTAAAGAAAATCCACACCCTCACTTTGAAAAGGAGAAAGGCATTCTTGGCCTCGCCGGCTTCGTCGACCACTCCAAGAAGCCGCCAAGCTCGTATGCCAACCTACGGGTCGTTCGGGTTTAGGACTTAATGTAGGGGCCTNNCTGAATAATTAGAATAGGGTTTTGGAGTATAATATACCATAATTACAATAAGGAAAGGGGCCTGAATAATTAGAATAGGGCCTTGGGGGTTCCTTATCGTGATTATGGTATAATATACCCCAAACCTATTCTAATTATTAAGGCCCCTACATTAGGATTTAGGGTTATGATCTTTAGCGGCTTTAGTGCCTAAGTATGGTATGTATGCGGGTACAGAGCATACAAAGACAAGCAGAAGTCGAAAAACAGAAATCATTAAGTGTGCATGTACGCATTTCTGGCCTACATATGTATGTTGGTGCGTGGGCGGACGTGCTTGCGTTTTCGTTTCACATGCTCTCGAGCTTTTTTGGATGCAGAGTTTAAAGTTAGAGTCGTTTATGTCTTCATACCGAAGCTTTTCTGACAACTTTACAGGAGCACGAGTGGAGCTGAAGCCACACGAAGACTCCGGCTACTCCTGCCGTGACTGAAGCCTCCCATCACATCCATGCACCCTGAACAGAAAGTTGGGTTGGCATACGCCCAACTAACAGTGGTACATCAGGAAGATAGAGGGACATTTATATAAGTACTTGCCATTGCCTATCCCCGTGGAGCGGGCCTATCTGAATCCCCAACGCTCTCGAGGACCCCCGCCACCAAGCAAGAATTATAATCTTGGCTATGGTTGGTGTTGAGCATCCTCAACCATAATCGGGCGTTTGGGTGAACGTCTCTGCATTCACCGAAACGCCCCTACCCGCTGCACCGCCAAACTACGAACCGCGAATCCCGGGAATCGGACACCCGTCCCTTTTTCAAAACAAACCTAGCGGAAAACCCACCAAACGGCCAAACTCGAAGCAATCCTGAAACCAGAGAAAATCTAGGTTGACTATTCTTTGGTCACCGCGCTATTTTAGCCGCCGCTTGGAAGAAGCAAGAGAAGGGAACGTCGTCGGGTGGTTGCGATCTTAGGGTCTGTACGCGGATGTCGGAATTCGCGGGTACTGGGGGGCCGAGCTTACGATTGCAGTGGCCTGGAATAGGGGTTTATTTAGGCATTGAGGTGTTTTGTTTGGCATTGTCAGTTTTCGCGGCTTGAGTCCCGAAACACGACCATGTCAGGACTACGAGCAAGGTTGCTCTGCGATGAAAGACAGAGCTGTAGTCTGTAGAATGGACGCCTGAATACATAATAATTACTGCAATATCTTCGGTACATCCAACCCTAAACTTTATGAGTCTAAGGTGTTGGCACCGGTTTTCACGCTGAACCCTAAACCCTAAACCCCTAAACCCTAAACCCCTAAACCCTAGACCCCTACACCCTAAACCCCCAAACCCTAAACCCCTTGAGGCCTTTGGTGCACCTATGAAATCGCAGCCTTCCTGCGAGACCAGGCTGGGGAGATTCCATGAAAGCCTAAGCCCGATTCCGATTCCATGTGGGAGACTGTAATGCGCGTGTTTATTTGTATATAGTATATAGATATAGATATCTTATATGTTGATTATTATTGTTCTTATTATTATAGACATTGTTATTATTATTGTTATTACTACCAGTATTATGCTTTAATTGTTTGACCATTTTTATTTTCATTACAGTATAGTATACCCTCCAAACCCATCTTCCTATTATTCTGACAATGCATTATGTTTTAGAGGTTTTGGGTTGGTGGCCGGGGCTTTTGTGTGTTGTAGTTTCGCACCACCATCACCACAAGCTGCATCATCCAGGGATTCGCCATCGGTAGCGCATTCGCCATTCGCCTGCATTCCCAAAGGGTCCAAAGTACCTATATAGTAGAATGTAGGGTTTCTATATTAGGAATTGTTATTATGATTTGGGAAAGTATCCCCCATAACAGTACCTAGGACCCTTTGGGATTCAAGGACCTGAAATTTGGGGCCTTGGGCATGGAGGGACTTGGGTCTCGGATGAAGAGCTTCTACCGAAGCAAGCCTTGCACATATTACAAGCTGAACGCCGACATCGTGAGCCGGCATTCGGTTAGCCATAATCGCTTTGAAGGGAATTCGGAACAGGGCTTTCCCTCCCCTCCCCCACAACAAGAAAATGCCGAAAATCCTCACTCCTGCATGCGCGCACGAAAACATCAGAGCCGCCGAGCGCATGCCTGATCGGCCGCCAGGTAACCGATGAGAAGCCTCTGCAGGTCATGCCGGTGAAGATGTCTGTGATCCTGTTCCTGCTGCCCCCTGGGCAGCAACCAGTTGAGGGCGTTGGGGTTTGGGGTTTCGGGTTGGGGTTCAGGGGGGTCAATGGTTTCGTTCAGGATGCTTGGGCCCGCTTGAGGCTCCAGTGATTATTTCTATTTGGTCACCCTCCCCCCCATGACAGGTTATATTTCTATGTGTTCGAAGTATGCCCGTCATCTAGCGCTTTGGGTTTGCATTTAGGGTTTGAGTGTGGAAGCTCTTATACAGCCCTCCAATCACACTCATAAGAACGGTTTTGGTCTCTAGTTCGGGTTCGAGCCATGGAACGAAATTTGTCAATTCGGGTCTCCTTCCAGGTCCTTCGTAGAAACACTGATTTGCCGAACGCTTGAGATGGACAAGTGGACCTGAAATTGGAACTGCAAGTCAGCTGTAGCCCCAGGGCCACAAGCCCTGACCTCACAGGTCTTTCTGTTGGCATATTCTGACCATCTGCTTCTACGTCCTGGAGTATGTGACCGACGACTCTCGGCTGCTCGGGGGGTTGTGACTCGTCACCCCTGAACCTGCCTAACCCCCCAGGTACCTACTATATAGGGTACTATAGCCCCTAAGGCCCTATATAGTAGGTACCTGGAGGGTTAGGGCCTGGCTTAGGGTTTAGGATTTTGCGGGTTCAGGGTTCAGGCTTGAAGGATTAGGGCTTAGGGCCTAGGGTTACCTGAGCTTCCGCCCAAGAGGCTGAAGACGCTGGCTGGCACACTCGGGCATTGTGCTACGCACTCCTACCCAAATCCCTAAGCTCTACAATCAAAGCTTAACGACAGCCCTAAACCCTTAATCCTGAGGATGACACGGGTATGCTCGACGAGATTCTCGTGGGCGCCTTTGTTGCCGCACCTTTGGCTGGGATGTAGGGCCTCTAGGGTTTAGGGGGTTTAGTAGTGTTTAGGGTCAAGTTGTTTTTCGGTTTTTGGGTGCAGGCTTAGTGCTTTAGCAGGGTGGTGTGAGTCTGGATGTCCCTTAGGAATGTGTTTTCGGTTTTGTTGTAGCATTGTTGATATTGTTTTGGGTTTAAAGCTTGGTAGGAGTTAGGGTTTCTATATCAATTTAGTGTTTAGGCGTCTAGGGGCCAAGGATTGGGATGACATCTTAGGGTCTTGTGTATCAGCCTGGCTGAGGTGCTTTTCAGCTTCGGGGTTTCAGGTTCTAAGACCTTATAAACCTTAAACCCTAAAGTTGTTGTTGCTCATGGTTATTCGGTACGTTTATGCTTGTCAGAGGTTAGGGCGACAAGGATTCAGGATTTCGATTCTGGGGTCAGAGGCCTTGACGGATGGGTTTCAAGATTTGTCGAAGAAGGGCTGTGCAGAGGGGAGGTTGACTTGCAGGTGAGACCCAGGCCCCCGGGAAAGTAGATCCCTTCAGGGGGTTCCTATAGACCCTGAGTAGTTAGGGTCCCCAATTAGGGGATCTACTTTTTATGTCCCTTAAGGGGGTTCCTATAAAGCACCCGTTTAGTAGTTAGGGTCCCTAGTTGGGGGATCTACTTTTTAGATCCTCCCGGGGGTCTGGACATGGAGTCCCCTGTCATTGTCATTGGAAGTCCTTCAACCTGAACCTTAAACCGCAAGCCATCAACCCCCAGCGTTTATGGTTTCTGAAGTTTAAGGGTTTTAAGGATTTTAAGGGTTTTAAGGGTTTTAAGGGTTTAGGGTTTTAGGGTTTAGGGTATAGTGTTTAGGGACCTATTCTTACTCGACCCCCTACAGCCACCCACCCTCGGCCCTGGCCCTAATCAGCCGATCTTCTGCTTTCTCAGGCGTTTCTGATGCTGACCATGCCCATTGTCTGCTACATCGGTATCGGCCTCATGAAAGACATCCAGGAAAGTGGCCGATCCGCAAACTCCAAACTCGGAGCCGGTAATTTCTCCAAAGTTTCTGAGACGGGGTATTGGGTTTGGGGTATACCGTAACCCCAAACAACTTACCTCATTTAAGGACTTAGACAAAGAAATAATGAGGAACCCCCAAACAGGTAGGTTCTTTCGAGCACAGATAGCACATAGGATTTAGGGTACCCTCCAAACTCATCCGCAAGGCCCTCGCCCCCGAAACCTTCAGCAAGGCTCTAAGGAATCCTCGAGGATTTTCTGCGGGGCCCCACAACAGTTGTCCTAACTCAAGTTGAAAATCAGCTAGGCCTGAAATACACTGCAGTTATTGTTTAACTGTTCAGGCTAGACGACGAAGCTGTAGCCAAATTCACAAGTCCTTCGCTCAAAACTCAACACTCTGCGCACTAAATGTAAACCTTAAGCCGCTAAGAAGCCCTGAACCTCCAGATCCCTAAACCCCCACACCGTGAATCCTTAAAGTTTCTCTCAGCAGGAGCTTCCCAATCAGCTGAAGACCTTCCGCGTGCAGGAATCAAAATGCTTCTGCTGCTGCTCGGCCAGTTTTTGGAGCTTGGGGTTATAGGGTTTTGTAAAGGGGCCCGAATAATTACCAATACTATTGTGGGGGTTTCCTTATTATGATGATAGTAGACTATACCCCCAAACCGTATTCTAATTATTAGGGCCTCTATGTTGGGGAAGCTCCCCAACTATAACGTAGACTCCTGAATCAAGCTCTGTCACAGGGATCCAACTGCTAGCCATGGTGAACTCAAACCCGAACTTGATGGGATCTGCCTGGCTTTGTTGCTTGCAGTCATCTTTCGTGTTGGCATTCGGCATTGCGTGTCGGGATGTGGTACTACAGTCGAACACTTACCACTGCTGTACTGGAAGGTTCCTCTGTATCGTACATTTATGTACTGTAGAATATCCCCACCCTCACCCCCAAAGCCCTAGTCTCATTGTCAAGTGCCCTAAGGCCCTAATTATATTTCTTCTGGGATGACTTCGAAACTGCTCAGGTTTCGGGTTTTGGGTTTACAGGCCGCTTTAGGTCCCAACTGCGCTGAAAGCTTCCCTTTCTTTAGAGACGGCGCTGCCCTGCGTCGCAAAATCCACAACTGCTGAAACGCATCGAGAGCCCCGGTACCGGAATCGGGCATACTTCCCCGATTCACTTTCAGAACCCTTCTTGCAAGCCTAAGTAGCGACTAAATCTTCCAATTCTCCAATTATTGCTGTTATGCCAGTTATGCCCTAGACCCTAAACCCTAAACCCTAATTGCACTTTGACAAAACCGACTGAAACCCTCAAGACCTCACCAGCCTCTGCCCAGAGGTTCGCACAACCACGTGCACCCTGAGACCGGCAGAAGGCCCGGGCAGTGCAGTCCCTGAGAGGCCTCCAGCTTGAACCCAGGCCCCAAGGGTTCCTTTAAGGTTTAGTGCTTTAGGGTTTAGGGCTTTAGGGCTTTAGGGTTTAGGGTTTAGGGCTTTAGGGTTTAAGGTTTAGGGCTTTAGGGTTTAGGCTTTAGGGCTTTAGGGTTTAAAGGACCGAGTAGTCATGTACTTAGGTTTCGGACCGTGGTTATGTAGGTTCTGCTTGTCTATGGTTGTTAGGTACTTGGGCCCGTAGGGTAAGGGTGTTGGGGGTCCTTTCAGGGTTCATCTGAGTTGGGGTTCCCTTACGGGTTCACCTTAGGGTCTTACGGTTGCTTTTAGGGGTTCCTTTAACGGGTTCCCAAACTGCCAAACTTAAACCTGGAGCCCTTAGCTTAAACTTGTAAACCCTAAAATCTGCACCCTTATGCGGGTAAACTCAGGCCTCCACACCCATTAAGCCTGGAAACCTGGTGCAGGCTTTTTGCAGGTTCTTGAAATGCGTGTGTTTTGGGGTTTAGGCCAAACTATCAAAGCTAGGTAGCAGCTAGGACCAAGGCAGACAATGCGGTATCGTAGTCTAAGTACATCCTATACATCCTAAACCGTAGACCTTCACGCTTTTCCCAGAGACTCCAATACCCCTTAATTAAGGAGTATACCTTAAATCTTATTAGGGATCCTACTATAATTTAAGGTATATTCCTTAATTAAGAGGTATTGGAGTCTCTGGGTTATACTATACCCCAAGTTCCTTTACCCTAGACCCTTTAATCCTGCACTGCTACACCCTTCTAGGTTGTCGTTTTAACCTTCATGGTAACTTTGTGGTATCCGATAAAGTCTGATATCGTAGCCCTTACAGTCAGCGTTATGCCCTTAGCTAAAAGCCTCGATTCCAGAACGTCCATAGACCCCTAAGCCACATAAGCCGTAAACCCTATAACCCAAACCCGATAAGCCCCTAAATCCTGTAAACCCCTACACCCTAGAACCTCAACATCCTCTAGACTCCAGGCCCTATAAGCCCTAAGCCCTGTAAACCCTAAGCCCCATAAACCCTAAGCCCTACAAACCCCAAGCCCTATAAACCTAAGCCCTATAAACCTTAAGCCCTTATAAGTCCTAAGCCCCCTATAAACCCCCCTAAACCAGGATCATCTGCGACCGACAGCTTGTCTTCAAGACCCTGAAGCGCTGGTTCGGAGCAGAAGGCCCGCTTTTAAGAGGCTCCTTTAAGGATTCACTGAAGGGTTCCTTTAAGGGTTCCTTTAAGGGTTCCTTTAAGGATTCATTCAAGGGTTTTATTGTTATTGTAAGGGTTTTGTTCCAGGGTTTTAAGATTCTCCTAAGGGTGCTTCTTCAGGGCTTTCTAGGGGCGTAGTGTTTTTGACATTAGGAGCTGACTTGGGGCTGATACCGAGCAATACAGCCATGAGGGGGTGTTCTTGCTACGTGCTCAATATACTTGCTTAGGGTTTTTTACTGTGGATAGGGTTCAGGCTACCCGGATCGGGTTGTTTAGTCCAGAGCCAGCCAACTCGACATAACTCGACCAATTTCCCTTTCTAAGCCTAAAGCACAGGCCTTTTGCCGCTGTAGCTTAGAGCTTAAAGTGGATCCCTGTCGAATTTCGAAGGGCAGATTCTCTGATTGCAGGCTGAGCATGTCGATTTCAATGCCAGCCTTCGCTTTGCAACCGCACGAACAGACAGACTGCCTGGTGCATGAGACACTCCGGGTATGCTGAAACATGCGTTTCGCACTTGACGCCAAACTCTATATCTTAAACCCAAGACAGCGCTGCTTGTTATCCAAAGCGATAACGAAAGAAACCCAATGAAATCTGCAAAATCCCAGATGCTCCCCGGACACTCCCGCAGTAATTACGCCACCTAGGAAACTACCAGACGAAAGTAGGTAAGTACCACTTATGCTTGCTTTACCCGCACAAAGGCCTTTCACAAACAAGCCCTGCTTAAAGCCCGTGTAAGTCCCTGTTACAGTTCCTTGCCCTCCTTGCGGAAGCTTCCATGAAGAAAAGGATTTCTTTGAGTCTGTATAAGGAACCTTAAAGAAACGGGCGTTCTTCAGGCAACACGCTTGCCCATCTGACGCTTCCGACATGCAGCCGCTGAGCTGTGGGAGAGTACTTCTTTTGAGAGCCCATTAACCCCTCATTAATGTTATCCTGTGGGGGGGGGGGTCCGTAAGTGTCCAGTTTGTTAAGTACCGGTCTTCTTTGGTTCTTCGAGTTAGGCTCGCAGGATTTGGAGTGTAAGGGTTGAGTATTTCCTTTTGGGTGGGTCCAGTGTCGCGTGGCTACATACGGAGTGAGGAATCGAGTTTAGGGCTCAGGCTTGCCTATCCGACTCGTTCGAAGTTGCAGATTCTGCTGGACAGTGTGCATCGGGGAATCAGGGCTGTCCGGGTCCTGTGGGCAGTCTGATCAATGCTCCAGGGGTCCACATGCCTGACAGTCATAAACTCCTTTTGCAACCAACATACATACACTACGGCACTACACCTGACAGTTACAAACTCCGTTTGCCACTACAACTAACCTACCTGGGTCGAAGTTTGAAGGGTTTCTTCAAAGCTGTTCTGATGGAAAGGGGGCCCTGTGAGAAGAGCTGTTCGAACTCATGACTCCCTTTGGGGCACCGCAAGTCGCGCTGCAGGGCTCTGCAGTGTCCTTAATTCAAACCCCGTTAGCCCTTTACCCGAAAAAGCCCCGCACCCTTCAAAGATCCCTTGCAGTAGCCCTTATTCTGTATCCCTTAGAGCGCTGAACCAGTGCTGAGGCTCGGAATTTTCGGCTGCGGCATTTCCGGTTTAGTAGAGAGACTTCCCTGCCCAAGCCATTGGGTGTCTTGCTCAATATGGTGGCCTTGAACCCTAGGTCCAGTGTTTATACTTAAATTAGTAGACCCCATACAGTCCCGCCATCTGAGCAGCAAAGGCTATACGAAACACTTGGAACCGTTCAAACCCTGAACGTCACCTGATCCCATCCCTAAACCCTAAACCCTAAACCCTAAACCCTAAAACCCTAAACCCTAAACCCTAAAACCCTAAACCCTAAACCCTAAACCGTGGGATCCCATCTTGAGAGGAAAGGAAGAGCAGCACTTGGACGCCTTCAACTTCCTCGTGCAGAGCGACCTCGCCCAAACAGCGCCTCCAACGGTTTAGGGTTTAGGGTTTAGGGTTTAACGTGAGTGGGATGAACTGTCTAAGCCTAAGCTGTAGAAGGGTTTAAAGGTTTGCGGTGGTTCACAGACAGATTATCCTAAACCCCTTCAGCTTTAGAAGTTTTGGGGTTTTGCGGTTGGGCTTTCCATTGGCCACTGTGGATTGGAATCGGGTTTCGGCTCACACCTCTGGCAAGGCTCTGTGGTTGGTTCTACGGTTGTTCAGGGTTTGGGTTAGGGTTCAGATGTAGGATGATGTAGGGGTTTAGGGTTGAGTTCATGGTCCACACTAGACGCTGTAGCGCCCACCCTGTCGTGGAATCGTGGTGATGTTCGTGCGTTGTGTGCTAGGCTACGCTGGGTGTGCTGCTTGCATTGTTCTCCAGATTTCATTCCATGACTCCGTGACTGTAACATGTATGTATAATATATATATATATATATATATGTATATATATAATTAACTAATTAATTAATTAATTAATTAATTACTTAATTAATTAATTAGTTAGTTAGTTAGTTAATTAATTAATTAACTAATTAACTGGTTAACTAATTATATATATATATATATAGATGTGTACGTATATCCGATGCAGGTGACAATGTCGAACATCCAAAGCATGCCGGTGTTTCAGCCACTTAGTAGAGCAGAGTACTGTAAGCTCGACAATCAATCGCCGGTAGGCCTTCCTGTGCAGCTTCCCATACTAAGATCCAAAGCGGCCTTGCACCCCAAGCCCAAAGCCCTCAACCCTAGACGACCGCTGCTGCACTCCTGTTATTCTGTGGAAAAAGATGCTTCAAGCTGGAGCAGAAACCTATCTGGACGGCAAAGCTACGAGCCTAACACCTTCTAGTAACATCCTTCCGAGCATTTTTTGTTTAGATGCTGCAAACACTCGTAGAGACTGAAGCTCAGGACCTTCCAATCAAACCCTGAACTTGAAGTGAGCTGGAGCCCTCGGGCTCATATAATATAGGGGCCTCAGAGATTGCCAATACTATTCCACACGATTTCTTGGCGTTCCTGATTATACAAATATGCCCCCATGAACCCGAAGCCCTGTTCTAATTCTTAAGGCCCCGGTTCTTTATTGTTCTACATTTGAGTTTAGGGTTGAGGCATTAGGCTCCGCTGAACCCAGACACTTCAGGCCCCTGTTTGAGTCAGCCCCAGGTGCTGAAGAGCGTGGGTGGAGATACCCTGCCCTTTAGCTATGCCGTCTACATGGTGAGCATTTGCTTCTTGGACTTTATCAAGCTGCCTTCCATGTGGGAACTCCCTAAAACCGAAACCGTAGGGTATTATAAGCCCGAAACCCTGAACCCTAAACCCTAAACCCTAAACCCTAAACCCAAACCCTGAACTATGTGGAATCATAGTTTGTTCATTTGCAGTTTCAGTTTCGGCCTGCAGAAGCAAAGCTGTCTGTGAACGCAGGTGGGGCTAGGCGAATTGGAACCACTGAGTCTTTCTCTTTGAGCCCAACCTGGCCTGCAGGGCTTGAAGTTTGGGTTGAGGGTTTAGGGTTTGGGGTTTAGGGTTTAGGATTCAGGGTTCATCGTTGCATTGAGGATTTAGGGTTGAGGACCCCTATTCCTACTATCTAGGGTACTCTATTAGGGTCCCCCCAAACCCCAGACCGCCCCTAATTTGCAGCGACCCGCAGGCAACGTGCCCTTTCTGGCGCAGTACATGGCCTCCTGGAAGGCGGATCCTCCGCGCCGCAGATGGGAGTTTCATACAGCCCAGGGCCTATAAGGTTTAGGGTTTATAGGATTTAGGGCCTAGGGTTTATAGGGTTTTTAGGGTTTAGGGTTTAGGCCCGTTTGGGCAGCTTGTGGTTCCTTGGTTGGAAATTCTTAAACTGAGGATCCGATAAGAAATGAGTTGCGCTGAGGGTTCGAAAGGCGCCGGGTATGAGGCCCCATGTGCTGATTAAGGGGGGTTTTGCAAGTGCGATGTCAATATGCCGCAGATCAGGGGATGTGCAGTGGCCATGCAGTGCCGGTTTTACAAGATGCGCCTCTTCAATACCAGTACCATGACTCCTTACACCACAGAAACGCAACCGGCCAGAGGGTCCAGCTGTGTCTTCTAAGTTCACCTCTGACCCTGTCTTCAAGCCTCCGAGCTTGATAGAGAAGCTCGGTGCCTCGAAACCTCTTGTGCCCAGGTTTCCAGTTGAGAGTGGATACCCCTAAACCCCCAAACCCCTAAACCCTCAAACCCTAAACCCCTAAACCCGAAACCCTACACCTTAAGTCCCTGAGAGCCTACTGAACAGCCGTGTGTCAATAACACCCACAGAGCCCACACCTCGAAGCCCTCCCTTGCCAGAGGCCAGAAATCTTAAAACGCCCTGAGCCTTGAACCATTCTGAGCCCGAAATTATTCTATAATGTACGGGCCAAACAGTTACCAATACTATTTTGGGTTCCATAGTATAAGTATGGTATAAAGGGCGCCAAAACCCTATTCTAATTATTAAGGCCCCTACATTACACACTCTTTAACTTAGCCCTAAACTTAACCCTCAAACCCCAGGAACATGGGGCCTTCACGAGCTTAGAGCTCGCCGGCTGGACTTTGAGGAAGTTTATGGATTGGGCCACGCTGTCCCTGGTAGCTTGTCTGCCTAAAGGGCTACGGCTCTACTATGGCTTAGACGCTGAGTAGGTAATTGTTAACGGTCTTGGGGCTTATAAAACCCAGTAAGATTCAAAAGGTCAACCTTTTTGGGGCTAAGGTACCCGCCCCCTAAGATGGTTTGAGGTGTGAAGCATGGAGTGTCAAGTGGATCGGATGTCGGGTCTAAGCTACCGGGTTTGAAGTGGCATACCCATAGGCTCCGTTGGAGTTCCTTTTTGTGGTTTATATCTAGAATCCTATAAGGTACTCCTGGGAAGGAGCTACAATGGAGCCTATGGGCAGTTTGCAGTTGTCTTGACCCTTTCGGCCCAACGTTGCGTGGTTTCACAGGCGGTTCAAACAGTTTACATTGCCCAGATAGTACCGTCAGACCAGATATCCGGAACATGGTTTCAGGATGACTAGCGCCGAGATTCCCCAGACCTCATCTTAATGCGGAAGCGAGGAAGTTGGAACTCATGATCTTGATGTGTTTAACATGCTCGTAGATCTTGAGGAGCCCCAGTAGTAGATGTCCTTAACTTCTCTACCCATTGTTCCAACTTCCTGGAGGTCACCCCAAGACTATTACGATCATACATCCTAGTCAGCCGCTTTTGCGTAGAGTTTACGGAGTACTGAGTAGCACTGCTGGTTGACAAGCTTCAGCGCTACTTCGTAGAATGTATTCAGAAAAATCAGGGCTATATACCTGTTTTGCGGGTCCTTATAATAAGGATCCTCGTTCAGGGTTTCAGTAGTGATATTATTACAGTATGAGAGCAGCAGAACGGCCTTCATCAAGCCATGCATGCTCAGTAAAATGTTGCAGCCCATGCGAGTCCACGGTGCTGCTGCAACAACAGCAACAACAGCAGCAGCAACAGCAACAGCAACAACAACATCAAGAACAACAAATCCCACCAACACCACCACCACCACCACCACCACCACCACCACCAACAACAACAACAACAACAACAACAACAACAAGGAACAAACAAAAACAGGGACCCCGTCAACCCATGTATTTGCATTTTGTCTGTACATTGGGTAGAGCCAAAAACAGGGACCCCGTCATGTTGTTTTACCCCCCCCCCCCCCCCC